TATATATGCATATATATATATATCATATAATGCTATGCTATCTAGATATACATATATAGACACCTTAAGGTTGAGGGATCTCCAGGGCTTGCGGTGCGATGGCGACGTCTTGCTTACGGTGCCCTCTTAACAAAACAAGTTTGTTGTGGGCTTTATACATCTCCTTATTTTCTATAGAGTCATCCTTTATGCATTTCCCTAAGGGTCCATGTACCCAAATAGTATATACATTGGCCCTAAAGTACCTATATAGGGACCACTTTAAGGCCAAAGCATATGCTGTTTGGGTACATGGACCCTTAGGGTTTTGTACATTTTTCCAGGGTTTAGAGAGGCTGCGCTTTCCAAAAGTGAGATCTCGGTTGTCGGGAATCGGGAAATGACACGGCTAAGCACAACGCAGAAGCGCTCGGACATGGAATGCTTGCACCCCAGAGGCACCCAAACCCTAAACCCGAACCCCATTCCTCCACAACTCTACTTGGAGGTTCATGGGACTTAGTAAGTACAGTTCTAAGTACCTTAATTGGGGATATAAGTACAGTTACCTTATTTATAGCCATAGTTATTAAAACCCTAAACCCTAAACCTATTAAGTCCCATGAACCCCTAAGTACCAGACCTGAACCAAGCCTCGAGGAGGTCATGAGGGGCATCCTCCGGAATCTCGGTCCAAAGCCTTGGTGCAAGGTACGTTCCGTGGTTTGGGGTCTTAGGGTTTAGGGATAGGGTTTAGGGATTAGGGCTTTAGGGGTTTAGGGATTAGGGGGTTTCGGGTTTAGGGATGGGGTTTATAAAGTTTGGGATGATAGGGCCCGATTGAGGGTTTAGGGGCAAGTTTTGGCGCTTGGTGCTTTCCACTGTTCAGTATAAGGGCCTGGAGAACCTGAATACTGTTGTGGGGTATGCTATAGTATAGCTAAAGTCCAGAAGGAACCCTACTGAACACTGTTGGCTTTTTCAGGTGAAAGCAGGGGGCGAATAGAAATACCATTGGTGATTTTTTCGGCTTCTATACTAGGGCCTTTAATAATTCGAATGGGTTCTGTAGCGCTTGATATGGAGGTTTAAACCCTAAACTCCTAAACCCT